GGGGGTGAGTCCAGCCCCATACCCCAACTGGGGCAACCTGCTCTTGGTGCTCTTGGGCACACACCATTCAGGACTCCCCCCCTACACCGCACCCCTGCTCCACCTAGCTAGCTGATGCAAATAAGGGTCTTATTCCAAAAGAGGAAATTTAGGAGCCGACTGAGCTTCCAGTTCTTCCCAGTTTTCAGGCCACACCAAGAATGCCAGGGAGCCTTCTAACAGGCTGGCTTAGGATCACAAAGCAAATGCCACAGAGAAACACCCTACCCCACCTCTATATGAAGCACTGCAGGGTGAGGCTGAGCCATTCATGACCAGACAGACCTTAGCTTGTTCTCCCTGGATTTTTGTCCTCTGTGAGTGGTCTGGTTTGGAAGTCACCTTAGAAACCACAGGATCTCATAACACCAGAATTGAAAGCAGTGCCTTCCAGGACAGGTACTGCCTTGCCCCACCTGTTTAGTTTTTTATTCTCTTTTGGCTCCCAGAGGGATTGAGCCAAACAAGTAACTTTCAACAGGTGACATGCATTTCTAAACTGAAGGCAAAGTGTCCTTTCTTCCCAGTGAGCTAATGGTTGGCTGGTGGCAAACATTTTCCCCTGTGCGAGGGGTAAGAACAAATATGTGAGTCGAGCAATGAGAAAGTGATGGAGATCACCCTCCACTTCACTTCATGGGTCACAGACAGTCCCTGACGCTCAGACACTCCCAAAGGGATGCTCACGTAACTTGCCATGAAACCAGAAATGAGCAGGCCATAGGGGCTGCTCGCCTGAGCCCAGAGTTAAGCTTCTCTCTATGTGGGGATCTGGTCACAGCTACTAAGACCTTATACGATGGTCAGATTGGATCTTCAGGTCAGTGTTCAGGTAGCTAGGAGCCTGAACTTCCCAGCAGGCTCTAGGAGACAAGGGACCTGGGAGACAGGTGGAGCAGGGCCAGGCATTCCCATGGGTCTAGAGCTGGCCAGGTAACAATTTCGCTCTCATATCCATCCATGGCCTAAAAGAGAAGCAAGTCTCTAGTAGGACTGAGTCCAAGTCCCCAAGACAGAGCAGTGACTAAGTGGGCAGAGAGGCAGACCTGAAGCAGAATCTTTGGGCACACTAGGGAAGAAGTTAAAAACAGATGTTTAGGGACAGAATAGAAGGAAAACACAAGTGCCAAAGTCAGGTAAAAGTTGTGGCAAACCAGCTCACCCATTCGGCTATATCTACAGAGCAGAACTAGAGGTCAGCTGCTTAGCCTATGGTAGGCATTAGATTGTTGCCTAGAGACTTCACCCAAAATACCTAGCATGCTTTGGAAGGCATCACTTAATAAACAACACAGTAACACCTATAACATCACTGTTGAACCAGCAGCCACAATGGCAGGCAGAAATGATGCCAGAAGTCAGCACTTTCCTGACTTAGGGATACTGTATTACTCTAATAGACACATTAAAAAAAATCATTGCAAGAATGATAGGTGAAGCACCAAGCTTGACTTTTTCCCAGGGACTCCTGGAATAGTTATCTCAAGGTACCTCAGGTATTCCGGAACTCTCAAGCCAATCTCGGATGATGTTTTCAACAGACAACTCAAGCCTTTAGGGACAAAACAGAAAGCAAATGATTAAAATTTTCCAGAGCACTTATTAGCCAGAATGTTTGTGTGTCATTATGCGGGCTCATCCCAGCATCCATCATCCAGAGGAGGAGCTGCTCTCTGGAGAAAGAGCAACATTCCAATGGGTGGGGGTGTGGGAGGGAACCCCATCATGTCAGGGCAGTCTTGCTAGTCAATAGCAATGGCTGCATAAGGGAATTGAAGAATCACAAGCATAATACAGTGATGGGTGCTTTTAATGCTTTGAAATGAACTTTGTGATTGAGAAAGTCACTTTGGGAAGATAAGAAGTATTCCTAGGAATAATTGGCTACTGGAGAGGGGTGGGGCAGAGTAAGGCCCAAGTGCTCCACCAGTTAGTGAGCGCCACAGATGTGAACACACAGTGAACAATGGGCTGCAAGGACAGAGCAGTGCACACGGGATCAGCCACATAGGACACAAGATACAGGTGCGGCTCCCACTGTCTGTTTCTAGGCAGGCCCATATCAAATCCTCTTGCTATATCATATTATGATTGCTTCTTATTCAGTTGAAATTCTTTTGCTTAATGTCCTGCTGACGTCCCTGGTCCTCAAAATTACTAAGTATCTGATACATTTGGGGTCAAGAGATCGTAGGTTGTAGCTTCTGTTCTTCCTTGAATAAAACAGTTTAAAGCAAACACATCCCCCTTATCACCTTCCAGATAATCCCTACTCGTGCTCAGTATCTCTCTGCTTACAGAGAGGCCTGCTGGACTCTCCCGGATAGAAGGATGGCTGCCTCCTGTGTGTAACTCCCACCACTCCCTGTCCCCTGTCACAGCATTAGTTGGTACTATGAATTATTTGGTTATTGCACTTTTACTGTCTCCTCGCAGAACTGAACCTCTCTGGCAGCAAATTCCAGCACTTCACACAGTTCCTGTTAGTAAAGAAGATTTCTATATAGCTATTTTTTATTTGAATGAATGAAAACACACTTCTCAGCCCAGGGAGGTGGCTCAGTGGATATTCAAGCTTAACGAGCCAAGTTCAGTCCCTAGAACTCACATAAAAAGCTGGATGTGCTGGCATGCACCTGTAATCCCAGTACTCCTATGATGAGATGAGAAGTGGAGACAGGAGAATAACCCAGAAACTTGTGTGCCAGCTAGCCTGAGTATGTAGCACAGTAGCAGAAACAATAAGAGAGTCCCTGCCTCATCAAGGTGCTGGTAAGAACCTACTCTCAGAAGAGACCTTGTCTCAAAAAGACCAAAAAAAAAGAAGTTGTCCTCTGATCTAGAGACACATGAACACACACACACACACACACACACACACACACACACACACACACACACACACACACACACAAAGTAATACATTTAAAAACCTAACCCCCTGCTTCTCTGTTGACAACAGAAGTTGTAGAAATATATAGTAAAGCCTATACCACTGACATCCTGGAAGGTCAGTGCAGTCTACCATGGATGGTGTGATCAGACATGAGAGAGGAGGCTGGAGAAATGGGGCCCACTACAGGGAGGGGAAGTAGGTTATGCAGAGAAAGTAGCCAATAATGTCTGGTGTCACGCCATCTCCAATGAAGCCCGTGTGAGATCCTCCGTGGGTTGAGGCTGGAACTTCAAGGAAGGTTGCCTCTTGGAATTGGTTGTGATAAGAAACATGCAGTGTACCTGGCACACTCTTACTTGCTATTAATTTTCTAACTGTCACTCTATCTTGGGCTTTCTGTGGGCTCAGAAAGTGCCTGGTGTCCTTGGCACCGCTATCACTGCCTTTATTGAAATCCTTTAATCATTCTAGTCCAGATGCACCATTATTAATGAAAGATATTTTAATGAGAGATATTTTAGACATAGTGAGAAGTGACTAAGCAGAGTTAATGCTGGAAAGTCCAGAGAATAATAGATTTTTAGAAGAAAAATGTAGATAGATAAATATAGATAGAAGAAGGGTTTCTTGTTATTCATTACAATTCATGGATAAATTGATAAGATCAAGACCACCTTGGTGTCTTTTGATAAACAATCAATAAGAGAGCATTAAAGAGCAAATATAGAAAGTATTTAAAAATTGGTAGGATAAGAGAAAAGTATGGATTCATGGATCCCTAGCATGAAATAGCCTTTTTGGGATTTATAGAGTTAAAATAACTTAGAAGCCCTAATGGCCCACTACAAACAAGCAAGGAATGTTATCAGATCGTTAAAAAAGTAACAACCTGGCACCACTGGTGTTGGAAGTGCTTAATGGGGTGCTTAATGAATCAAGGCCATCTTGACCTGGGATTACAAAGCCGAGCAGAATCTTAAGTGTGTGAGAAAGGCTGACAGTAAAAAAAAAACACAGTAAAACAGGAATTTACTGTCTAGTGTCAGGTTGATAAGATAGAGAGATATGTTGGCAAAATTATGTTTTACTTTCACCTCTGGAACTGTGAATCTTAGCATGACTGTTCTGCGGTTTTTTGTAATCTTCGCTGTATATATTTCAAACCTTGCAACTGCGAAAATTACACTCAGACTTTCATCAAGCTCCTTTTGCGTCTGTTTGTCACTCGCCGACTCCTTGTCCACCCTCTCGACGACCCTGTTCCCATCGGACTGAACTGCCCCGGTCTGGGCTGGTCCGTTGCAGTCTGGCTCCAGGACTACTAGGCAGAAGAAGGAGAGAGAACCTAAGAGGACAGAGGGACAAGCACTATCTCACTAGGTCCTCCTGGTCCCCAAAATCAGTGGAATCTGGACATGCTTCCTAAAAAATCCAAGCGCCACCATCACAGGGCCTTCCCACTACTTAATTATAGTAATTTAATAGTATAAACCCCAGTGTAAACAGCCAAGTCCCCCTGTAACTGTGAGTGGAGAAGCACACATGGGGTTGTGTACCCAAATGTGTGCATGTGTGTGAAGAAAGGAGGCAACTTCTTTAACAGGAGCCCCTCAATCCGGACTGGCAAGTGGGTGTACACAGAGCTGGCCCCAGTGCTCAAAGCCTAGGGCTGCTGAGGGGAGGGTGAGGATGAAACTGACCCCTCTACCAGAGGACTGTGTCTGGGTGGTATGTGCAATGGCAGGTAAGAGAAAAGTCTGCTTTTTTTCAAACAAGGGGACTTCCTTTGTAAACAGAAGTCAGTTTTATCTGTTAGCTTCACACATTTCAGTAGAAATCAAACTAGCTTCCCTGGATGCAGGTAGGATGTGCCCTTTATTGGCTTTCTTTCTAGCCAGAGAGACACTCCTGTGGCCAGAACTCAAGCACCATCTCAGTGACCCTTGGGAAGGCTGCTGTGGGAGGCAGTCTAAGCCATGCTCTGCTGCACTTGGCGTCCAGGAAAATGGTCCTCAGCATGTGAGGGAGAGGCAGAACTCAGGCTTACAAGAAGCAGGATGATCAAAGGGCCAGACACACTGGATGCATGAGGGAGGTCAAGGGAACTGGGATTAAATGTCCTGAAGAGGCAGCATCTGAGGGGTGACTTAATTGCTATTTTCAAGTGATTTTACAAAAGATGGCAAACAGCTGTTGTGCATCACTACAGAGGAGTGGATATGAGGACAGGGACATAAATTTCTTTTGGGGAATTCTCACTGAAAGACATTTCTCTTGGTGGCATGGAGGAGGGGCTGGAAGCGAAGGCAGAGAAGGTTGCTGAGTGAGGTCCAAAGTCCTCATGAGAGAAAGCTGAAGAGCAGGCAGGTCTGTATGTGGTGAATCTCTGGTGGAGCTTCTGGGCCAGCTTCAGTGGAGAGCTGAGGTGGAAAGTCCCAGGGAATGAATGTTTGTGAGGAACACATGACCTCCACAACAACAGCAGCAGGGAACTGAGTCTGGGTGTGTGCAAGAAGACTTCCTGGTTCAGGAGGGACAGATGGATGAAGGATAGCAAGAAGAGCCTTGGGAGAGGCTTTGGGAAGGAGGAAGCACTTGAGTGTGTCCTGGGGAGCTTACTGCCCTGCACACTGGGGGCATACCAGTGGAAATGGAAGGAGGGCACAAACAGGGTAAAGTGAACCCAAGCACCTGACTGTGGGCCATGGGGGAGAGAAGCGGCTTGGTTCAGTGGGACAGCACCAAGGATGGGGTGAGAAGGCACTGGGATGGCTAAGAACAAATAAGAATAAGCAAGGACGTGGATGGAAGCAGGGAGCCCACATGGCAGGCTGCTGATTTATACACTTACAAACACTTCTGAGACAGAGCTGGAGGTGGAGAGCTGAGAAAGGACATGGAGAGTGGAAGATGGTGGGTGGACCTTGGCCCCCATCAAGTGTACAAGACAATTCTCCACAAAACACATGTGACTACATACAGTCAGTTTGTGCCACAATCTATAGCCAACTGGCAAGTGATGAGGCAGTTTCTGTCTTGCCATATTTAGTATTTGCACACAAACTATAACATTATACAGTGGCATTAAAACAACAGCAATAAAACAAACAAAAGCATCTCTACACTGCCAAGTGCAGACACAGAAGCAGAAGCTACTGTTATACTGAGGACTTGTAAGAGTAGTACAGACAAGATCTCATCTAAACTTTACAGTAACAGTATCAAATTACTGTTATCCCTTAGAGTTGAACAAAGGTTCTGAGAGGTTGAGGAACTTATCTAATGCCACACAGACCGTCCTTGAAGAACTGGAATTCAAACTCAAGAAGCCCCAGCTTCTCTATCCATGACAAGCTTAAGCCTCACAGTGAATCACTTTCTGCAGCGGTGTACATCATCCTGCACAAGTGGAGCCTGTGCACGCTGCAAACACAGGGTTTCCTCTGGCTAATACCTCTGCTGCTGGTGGCCTGGTCCCTGCTGTGGCTGCCCTGTTTGTCAACCCTCCAATTATATTTTTGAAGACACAGAGAGGCCCTTGGCTGTGGAGGGAGCAAAGTGTGAGGGTAGGAGAGCTCCTACTTCAGCTGTATCCAGGAGCAAAAACCATTCCCTCTTGAATGAAAGAACATGTGTTTTCAGATCACCTTCCTCTGGAAA